ACCTCCGAAGAACCACCTTCGCCCTTCACCTCYTCTGCGCCCACAGGCAGCCCGGCTATGGCCGCAAGCGCCCTGCGCTCTACCGCTTAGCGCCAGCCTGCCCTCACTCAGCCTAGCGCAACGCAGGCACACTCGCAATGCAACAGCGTGCCGGCCTTGCTCGCAATGGCCAAGATCCCTGCCCACTCGCCCTCTCTGCCTATATGCCAGTGTTGCGTGTAGGCGGCCTCCCTTGAGCTTGCGCCTGGGCCCCAGTACCTCTACCCAGGCCCAATGTGGTTGGGGCCCACGCAGTACAGTTGTGCCTCCTTTATCCAGGCCTGTGTCCAGATTCAGATAGTGGACCGGTTTCCCATTGGCATTTTCGGCCTCTATTTCCAGTATGCAATGTCGGCCTCACATTTATGTGCCCAGGGCCTAACCAACTCGGAAGGGCCCTGGTCCTTCTGCATTTGCAGGGATCCGGTACTCAGTGCACCCCAACCAACTGGTGTGCAGCAATTGTATGGACCCCACTTCGTGAAACGTTTGAACAGAGGGCTCTCGTTGATTTGTTGGCCCGCCTTCACTTAGGGCGGGCACGATGCTTGCTGGGGGCCTTGGCCCAGGACATGTACACCACGGCAAGGCCCCTTTTGAGGGCTCAATCCTCACATTCCATCCCCCTTAGCTTCGAAAGTCCGCTGAGATGCTTACTTTGCAGGTGCCTTCCCTTTTAACATTCTCTCATATTCTGACATCACTTGAGCAGCTGTGTCAATCAGTTCCTCTCTTGTGAACCACCGATCTTCTTTTCGATCCGTATGATGCCTGATTCTGACGCAATATTCTCTCTTGGGTTTGGGAGGTCTTCCTCGACCCAGCGTCTTTGAAACAGGCAAGTCTCTGTGATCCACAATGTCGTCGATGTCCACTTGGCCATCCATGGTTGGGGGCAGCATCGATCTCCTTGAAGGGAATTGATCTGTCTCAGCGAAAGGTGCGAGCTTTATGTGGATAACATAGGTAGGATCATCCATCTCATCCCCAACTATATCCAGGACTTCCGAGGGACCTAAATACTGAGGCATTAGTTTACGAGAGATTCTGAATTCGTGTCCTAGTTCACTAGCCTTGACCCAGACACGTTCCCCTTCCTGAAATGAGGACTTTCGACGATGTTTGTTCTCAGAAGTAATCATTGCTTGCTGAGCTTTCTTGATGTGCTCGACAGCTTGCTGCAGCAACTTCTTATACTGCACACCATACTCAAGTGTGCCTGGAGTTGCAGAGGGTCGGTTTTCAGGTAAGAGGAAGTCCAGAGCTGATCTAGACTTCCATCCCAAGTGCAGCTGATTAGGACTAACGCCGGTACTGCTGTGTACAGCGTTGTTGTATAGGCTGGCAATCAGAGGCAACTTCTCATCGCAATCATCCTCACTGGGCTTGATGTAATGCCTCAGCAGGTGTTGTACAACTCTGTTCATTTGCTCGGCTTGTCCGTTGGCTTCGGGATGATTCCCTGAAGTCATTTGAAGTTGACTGCCCATCTGTTCAGCAGTCTTCTTCCACAGCTCACTTGTGAAACAGACATCTCTGTCACTAACGATTGAGTTTGGTAGTCCAAAATCACACACCAGTGGTCCAGAAACAACTTAATGACGTGTTCAGTCCTTGCGGTCTCTGGCATGGCAATTAGTCTAGTGTACTTGGTGAATCGATCTATAATGACAAAGATGTGCCTCTTGCATCTTCTAACATTCCGGACCACCAAAATCGTTGTACTGAATCGGCACTCGTCTTTTTGTAGCCAAAGTGACCGGTTGCGTCATGACATTCTCCTAAGAATAAACTACGCAAACGTTCACTAGATGGAACAACTAACCTTTTAAATTCGGCCTTATCAAGAAAGAGAAGCCCGTCCACCATCACAAACTCATCTTCTGTGGCCTTGTCTTTTGCCTGAAGCTTGCGTATGATGTCCATCGTGACAGGGTGTTCTTGATAGGCTCCCACCAGTGTTTGAGTTAGTTTCTCAGATACACCAAACTCAGAAACTAGATCCGCTTTACGGGACAGCGCATCTGCAACCTTGTTGTACTCTCCCTTCAGATACTCTAGCTTGAAGTCATACTGATCTATGACCTCAATCCAGCGCTTGAGTGCATCAGAATGAGCCGGTTGAGTCTTGATCCATTTGAGGGTCTGATGGTCAGTTCTCAAGTAGAAAAACCTTCCCAACAGAAAGTGCCTGCAATGGACAAGTGCTTTGTAGAGAGCATAGAGTTCCCTTTCATAGGTGGACTTTGCCAGTTTCTTAGATGACATGTTTTTGCTCATGTACTCAATCGGTCTCAACTTTTTCCCCTCCTGTTGAGCCAGCACTGCGCCAATGCCGTATTGGCTTGCGTCGGTGGTCATTATGAATGGCTTCTGAGGAGCGGGCACCATAAGAACCTCATGATTCATGAGTGCATGCTTCAATCGTTTGAAAGTAGCCTCACACTCATCACTCCAGTCCCACGGCGTGTCGAGTCGAGTTAGATCAGTCAAAGGAGAGGCGATTGTGGAATAGTTCTTTACGAAGTTTCTATAGTAGCCGCACATTCCTAAGAAATATCTGACCTCAGTAACAGTCTGAGGTCGTGGCCAGTCCCTTATACTAGCCACCTTCGCATCTTCCGGCGTAATACCTTCCGCGGATACTTATTGACCCAAGTATAAGATCTTAGTGCGTCCAAACTCACATTTCTCTAAGTTGACCTTATACTTGTGCTGTCGCAGGAGTGAAAGTACAGTCTCAACGTGCTGTGCATGCTCCTTGACAGACTTACTAAAGATAAGAATATCGTCAAGGTAGACAATGACAAACGTATCTAAGTGGTCATGGAAGATCCTATTCATGGCATGCTGGAATGTACCCGACGCATTGCAAAGGCCAAAGGGCATCACTACAAACTCATACAAACTGTATCTGGTATGAAAAGCAGTCTTGTGCTGATCCTCAGGTCTTATTGCGATCTGATGGTAGCCGAATTTTAAGTTTATCTTGCTATAGTACTTACATCCCTGCACCCTATCCAATAGGTCGTCTATGCGAGGTAGAGGCTCTGCGTTTTTCACTGTGATGACATTGAGGCCTCTGTAATCAATGCACATCCTCAATGTACCCCGCTTCTTCGGTACAAATAGCACTGGAGATCCGTAGGGGGAAGTACTTGGCCGGATCCATCCCTTTTCTGTCAGCTCTTTCAGATGTTGCCGAAGTTCGTCCAACTCGGCCGGAGCCATCCTTTAGATCCTTCCCTTTGGGGTTTTACTCCCTGGAATGACTTCTATGGCGTGGACAACCTCCCTTTCTATGACTCCTGTAGGCTCTTTGAACAGATCAGGGAACTTAACAACGACGTGTTCTATCTTTGGGGGTGTTTTAACGGCCTCCCCTTTCTCAGAGACATGCACTAGGTACATACCCTCCTCTTGGTTTTGTTTATAATAGTTATAGAACGCTGATGCACACAAGTAGCCATAGGTATCGATTATACTACTGGCTTTGAACTTAGTCAGTCTCACTGTTTTTCCATCAGGCAACTTATGCTTTAGCACTTTCTTGTCCCAGTCGAACGGGGGCTTGGCAACCTCAAGGTAGTACATCCCTAACAACATATCGAATGGTAAGTCGTCGCTAATTAGGAACGGAATCTTATGATTAAGTTCCCCTCCTCCATAGGATAAGGTACAGACTACATCTTTGATATAGCCTGTGACAACCATGTGCTCCTTATTGGCCAGAGTTTATGCTACCGGTCTACTAAGGTGCTGTACCCGGTCCTGTAGGTGCAGCCTCTCCAAGCAGTCGCGACTTATGTAATTCCGCATGGAGCCGATGTCTATGAAGGCACCACATTTGCGGCCTCCTACATCAACTTCCACAACGAAATGTTCCCCTCTGGGACCTCTTCTTAGTGCCACCCGAGATTCACGAGGGTCCTTGCTTGACCACTCACTTTCTAAATCTTCTAAGGCTTTAGACACATCCAACGTACAGAGCATGGTTTGGTCTGGATGAGTCTGCAGGGTGACTAAAGAGTCATTAGCTATGGCCTGCTCATGAAGTGGGGAGGGTATCTGGCCCACTTCACCTTGAGTAGAAGCAGCTAAAACTTCCACCGGCCTCACGTGTTTCCCGAGCTAGAAGCCTGGGAAGAAGGTACCCCTACTTTAGGAGGTATCTTCTGCGTGACCTTTGCGTTCTTGCACTTGTACTGGGTGTGTCCGTATTCACCACAGTTGATGCAAGCACCACGCACTCTACGGTCCCGCCACACTTCTTGATCAAGATCTGCCTTGACCCAGTCAGCAACTTTGGTCTGGTTGGAGGCGGCCTACCCTTGACTCTTTTTATGGCCCTTCCCTCAACCACCTTCCTTAGTTTTCACTACTGCGGCGAGGGTGCTACCCTCAGCGATCTCCTCGCCGTTGTACTCTGAACTGTCCAACAGGTCTGTGAGTTCCTCGATCTCAGTTTGAGTCCCATTGGACTCAACCATCATCAATTTACTCCACTTCTTCTTCCACTCCTGTGGACTCTTCTTCTTCCTCGTGTCTACTGGAGAAGGCTGAGCACTTCCTAGAGTAGCCTCTAAGTCTAAGGCCTTTCTAGATAAGGTCTCAAACGAATGATACTCGAGGTCAATAAGACCTAGTCATCGTAGCGTATGCTGGGAACGATGATGAGGCTCTCTACGGTAGTCGTTAGCTCTCTGACTGACTTGAACTTTCGCTGGTCTGGTCTGAGCATCGCATCAGTGGCAATCTCAGCCTGCTGTGGATTATGTCAGCGAGCTTCTACCATGTCTAAGAACCCTTCTAACGTTAGGGTCTTAGCCTTGTCCGTCATGCGTCGTCCGTACCCAGCCTTTGCTACTAATCCATCCAGCCATTTGGCTGCCTTACCCTCCAGGTAAGATGCAGCCGTAATCACCTCCTCCTCCTGCATAGTCCTCTTTGCCCTTACCCACACTGGAACCGTTCTCAACCATGTGTTGAGTTCCTCGTCCTTCTTCTCTCCGGCGAAGGCAAGGGGCGGTTTCATAGGGGTCTTTGGTTACCATTGACCTTGCTGCTGTCCCAGTCGAGGAACAGGTTGTTGCGGTGATGGTGTAGCTACCACCGCTGACCCAGAAGAAGAAGAAGCAATAGTCTGTGCGGCTGCTGCAGTCGTACCACTTGGTTGTGTGCCAGCTTGCACCGGAAAGGGGCCTAACATCGCCGTTAACGGTAACGACGACTGCGCTGCTGGCCTAAATCCTGGCCTTTGCAAAAGGTCCAAGATGTGGTCCAAAGAGTTCTGCATAAAGTCCAATCTGCTGTCCACATGCGCATGCAGCGACGGTACACTGTTCTTCAATATTTTCATTTGGTCAGACATGGCTGACTATCCAAACCCTCCAATGCAGCTTTGTCTGCCTCTAACGTATCAAGCCTGGCTGTTCTATTTTTGATCTCCTTTTCCCTATCGGTTGCTTGCTTCAGTTCCCTCTCTAACCGCTTGCGGATCCTTTCGACCCGTTGGAGCTTTAGGAGCTCCCTACTGCGTGGGGTCAACGGGCTTAACTGCGAGCCCGCCATTTGACTTGTGGACTGACTAGAACCTACTGACCCGGAAGTACCCGCAGGCCCAGATGGCATTCCCAACTGAGTCCAAGACGAGGACGCAGCAGAGGCTGCGCCGTTAGCCATTGCTGCTGCTCTGGCTGCTGCTGCTGCTGCCTTGGCTGCTGCGAGAGCACGGGCTCTATTTTCGGCACGAAGCCGTCTTTCGTCTCCCGGTTGTAAGGTCTGAAACACGTGCGGGACCCTAAGTGATCTCGAACGTGTCAGTCTCGCATTGTCAACTCTACCCTCATCGGTGTCTGACCCACTCATCAGTTAGGCAAACAATATCTGCACTACAACCCCCTACTGGAGTCCTACCACAGCATGTGTCTGACCGACGCCTAATTTTCTAAAAATAATTGTGTTCGGCAGGTCCCCTATTTGACAGATCAAGTGGCAGCCTACAACATTCACAAAAGATTGTCAACATAGTTTAGTTCTATCATGATTAGTTCACTTACATAAGCTTTGCACAAAACTGGCTATGGTAGTATACAACAGTCCTATACTAAACTATCTGTGAGATGTTAGCAGTCTGTCAACCAACTAATCAACAATAAAACTAAAATATGTTGCAGATGTATGAACAATGGATGTAGTTGTGTTTTCAGTTGAGCACCAATTAGAACCTCCCCTCCCCTCAATCCAACATACCGAAGAGCATCTTTGAGCAGTAGTGTGTTCGTGTGTAATGTCGGCCCACCCCTGTGCCCCAAGTCATTGCCGAGCAAGCCAGCCCATCCACTCTTATTTACCCTCGTACGGAATGAGCCTTACTACCCGGTTTGATCTGGCTGATCCTGAGGGATTTAAGGAGAGCCCCCATCTCCTCAGGAATTATTTAACGTCGCAGACAGGACGACGATCACAGCCAGTATCAACACCGAGCCCCCCAACCAGAAGTATTTATAGACGGTCTGGTAAGCGTCTCTTATGGGCTGGCACACCCGGCACGACTTCTATAGTGCAGCAAAGTGCCAAAATGGACAAGCAGCCATCGCATGCCTGCCCTACTCCCATTGGGTTGGCATGGTGACCGTGACCCAAGTGCTTCGACCAAGGCCCTTCAGAGGCACCGCCCTTTCTCCTTCCAGATGCTTCCGGGAAGATTGTCGTCTCTCAAGGTAGCGCGCACACGACACCACACCAAAAGAGAGGACTCTCAAGTTGGACTCACTTGTTCGCGGTAAGAAGAGATTGAGAGAGTAGATAAGGTAAGGGAACAACGTACCTGGAGATAGCTGCCCCCAACCACAAATTTCTCACCAATGGAGCTGAGTGTGCATTTGATGACCGGTCGTAGCCACGGAATCCCAAGCCGTATGTTGGCCTGACGTGACAAGAACCAACTGCAAAGAAGCATCGTCAACGCACCAAGTCTTTATAACGCCAGCGCACCAAGGTAAGTGACGAATCAAACCAGCTCCGATACCAAAATGCAAGGAACATGAATATGGACGAAGCACAAAAATCCAAATTGCAAAATCACACTGAAGTCCAAGTAGTCAAAGCAAGAGCA